AGTTAATTTTCTATAGTCCCCCGCAGTTTATACCCTGTTGGCGGCGACTGATCCCCTCTTCTTTCCCCCTGAAAACCATGTGATCCTCTCCAAAATCCTCCATCTCCTCACCACCCCTTAGGTGGTACGCGGTAAATAATGACTGGTCCCTGGGTTTCCGCCGTTTTCTCGGATTCGTTCTTCGACCCTCTCGATTTTGGGGAGAAGCGCGGGGCTGGTAATGGAGCGTACACACATGTGGCACATGGGGGGGGGCCCGCAGGCCAGCGTGGGGGGTAAACGAAAGTTAATTAAGACAATTTTGGCGGGATCGCTGTCAAAATAAATAAATAAATGCTAACGAAACGTTCTTATTGTTGTCTTCTCCACTTATAATGGTAGCGAATGAAAACACACTCGTTCGAGGACAGTGTAAAGACTGTTAATGCACAAATAAATGCACAAATACATGATTATTAGGGATGAGTGCCAACATTTTAATTTTTGCTGATTCTGGAGGGGCGCATTTTCGAAGGGGGTGCTAATGCGGAGGAAGGCGCTGATCTAAGGAATCATCATGGTATCTCATTTCACATTCGTCAGGCTATTTGACTGGATAGCTACCCTAGCAACAAAATTACAACTACAATATTAACGCATCGGAGTTAACTACTTTATTGTCGTATATCTCCTTAAAAAAAATAAGTTACTGTTACATTTTAAATTTGAGAGAAAACTGGGTCGAATCTCCTTGCGCACGCGTACTTTCGGTAGTATCAACAAAAATGGCGGAAAATGGTGAGGTTTTGAAGTTTGAGGGGCTTAAATAGCTCACGCCTTTGACATTTTTCAATCTTTTTTACAGCAGGAACTGAGCTGTGTTGTTTCCTTTTTAGCGCCCTCTGCAATAGTGGTTGAGAACGAGGATTCTAAAGGTATGCACGAGAAACACGACTAACACAACATGTGTTAAACTTTCCGTAATGTGCCCTGGTTTGGTCCAAGATTGTTTTGACAATTTGCCAGTTTTGAAGGGATACGATTGTTTAGGCTTGTGTACAAAGTTAATTTCTATTTATTTTACACCTCTTAAATTTTTATTTCAAGGCACATCTGGCTCTGTAAGAATTTTAGCCCCACCGAAGTTCACTTTGAGACAAGACATGAGTGGAAAGGTTACGGTGCGTAAGTGTAAACAGTAAAACGACTTTTCAAATATTTATTTCGGAAAAACTTACTCCTCAGTCACTAAGTACGCGTCCCGACCACGCTTAGGAGAAACGTCTCTTTTTTTCCATATTTATCAGTTCGTTTCTTCATCTTCGTATGTAAAGTTTTGGAAATAATAATTCATTCAGGGATTTCTGCAAGTCTTGCACTGATAGTATACGACTGTTAGTGAGCAGACAAGGCTGAGTTTGTATTGTGTGTGTTTACATTAGATTAAGAATCTAAACAAAACTTTGAGGTTGAATTGTATTTATGCGGAGGAAAGCGTTTTTTTTTTTTAATTTTTTTCCCACAGGATAGGGGATTATTCGTGAAATAGTAACCATAATCGTGTAGTTTGATCGTATAGAGCTGTGGCCACATTAAGCTAAGCTTATGGAGCCTCCAAAGATACGTTGACATGATGAGTATTATAAATGAACCCAGCAATTTTGTTTTGAAGCTGCAAAAAGTCAATTAAATTACCTTTGTCTGCATGATGCAGTTGTCTACTCTTGTTTTGCATTTGGGTGAATTAAACAGAATTCATTGATAAGACATAAGAAAATAGTATGTTTGACACTGGTCATCTTTTTGATTAAGATATATATATATATTTTAAAAAAATTGATTGTTTGGGTTTGTTTTGGTTTTGTTTTGTTTTGTTTATTTTATTTATTTTTGCTTCAGAACACTTTTCCAGACGATGATGGCTCTGTCACTGAAATTAAAGATGCCGATCTCAACTCTAGTGGATCTGCAGTTAAGGTATTCTCAAAATTTGGCTAAATTCTTTTTCTTGTAATTTCAAAGAATGATATTTTTTTGTAGAGTTATTAGTCATAGGGTATATAGCAAGAGGTGATATAGAGAAGAAAACAGCAAAAACAACAACAACAACAACAACAGTGATAGATGTATATAGATGCTTCCAAATATGTGCCTCTAAACTCAAAATGTAAAAAAGTGCCCCATATAAAAAGCTCTTTTTAATTACTAGAAGTGTTCCAACACTTCCGAGGACAACTGAAATATTTTGATCATTAGGTAAGGTGAAAAAAGGTTCAAGAGGCCTTGCAAATATGTTAAACCTGTAACTCCCATGAAGGATCAAGACAGAATTTTTTCTTTACAGTATCAAGCAGACAAGTAATGGGAATAGAGTTAAATGACAATCAGGGGATTACTAGTTGATCCAATACCAAATTCTTCAAATTAGTATGAAAGAATTGTATGGCAAATGGTAGGGGGAATTACCAATGAGATCTTGGAAGGGAAAGGATTAAAATGGATTGTTAAGGTAAACCATTTAGGAAAAGAAACCATATCTTACTCCTGGCTGCTTTACCCTGTAGAAAGTAGGTAGACTATGAGCTCTGATCTTGAAAGCCAATTGACAAAGTCTCAATGCAAGCTTTGTTAAGTTTTTAAAGACTGAATGGGAGAAAATATCTATTCAGAACTGAATTTCTTTATCTCCATCACAGAGAAGTGCAGAGAGAGAGGAAAATGATGAAGAATCAGAACCAGAGGAAGGCAAGTGCAGACAACCATTTATACACCATAAAACATTGGACTTATTATCACTGAGATTGCTGACAAATTTTGATTCCAAATTCTCTGACTTTTGCCTTCTCTCAAACTTTGTCTCTTGTACTGTGTTTTCTGTGATCCTTCAAAGCTGTGCAGTGTAGGTGGGTATTGTAGCAAACTACAGGTTGTTTTAAGAATCATTCCTTGATAGATCCTTAAAAGTGGCTTTGTGAAAGTTATATGTCAAGTTATATGTCTTAGATTGGAGTTTTGTTCAAATCCATAGACTTCAGAAAAATCCCTGTGTATATATATCATTTTTTGTTTTTTATGGCCAAAGTACAGCTTAACATAAACCAGAGGTCTGCAAAACTATTTTAAATGTGAGTGTGCTTGTTGATGTGAAGTATACAGGCAATTGACAGATTTAACTTTAAATATTTCTACAGCTGCTTGTTCATCCCCAGTTAAAAAAGTGGCAAAGCTCGACAACACAAGCACACAAGGTACACACTACTACCTATCAAAAGAATATTTTAGATTTTTTAATTTTCAACTCTGATCATTGTATTTCTAGTGTTCT